AGTGTCATGTGTTCTTTGTTCATTGCATTTAGCTTTCCTCCTCCTGGTCCTGTCATTTAGGTTTATGTCAGTCAGCTGTTTCCCCCATGTGTCTCCACTTCCCCTGATCACCTCATGTATGTATTTAAGCCCTCTGTTTTCTGCATGTCATTGTTGGGTCGTCTGTTTACCTCACCTCAGTCATAGTTCTAGTCTTCGTCTGTATTTCCACGTTAGTCATAGTCTTAGCCTGTTTATTTCCACCTCAGTCATAGTTATAGTTTTTGGTCTTAGTACCTTTAGTGTTTTGTTTCTTAGTGTTTTGCCAGTTCGTTTTGGTTTCCTGGTTTAACCCTGCCGTCATTTTAATAAAGCCTCACCTTTTTGTTAAGACCTTACTACTCCTTGTCCTCATCTGCTTTTGGGTCCTGTTTCCACACACATCGGCGCACCCCGCCGTGACACCTTATGGTATTAAAACCTTTTTGGGCTGAGTTGTTCATGGACCACTAATAGAAGGCTATGAATGGGGGGAGCAGTGACCCCACCGTTAGTTAACTGAATCTCCATTGATCACAGAGGGGAACTGCTGGTGAAGCAACACAATCATGACTTCAATGAGAAATCGACAGAGAAAAAACCTGAAATGTCCACTGAAGATCTTGATTTATGAAAATCAAAATCAAGAAAACTAAGAACAAAAAAAACAACTCAAAACTCTCCTTTTTAAAATTGCTTTTGGTTAATTTTTGCCTGTATTATATTGTCTGTTTTACCTTTTATGAATTGTTATCTTATGTGCTGCACTTGATTCTGTCTAGAAAGGTGCTACATAAATAAAATTTTATTTACTATTTACTTAAAACTTTACACCCATGGCTGGAGTGGTAATCTGGCATACCATCTAGTATAAGTCAATATACTTATACGGGCTACAAGTCAGCTTCTGGGCCACTGCCCACTGGCCCTACAAGCACTATTGGTTCATTTTTATTACTGACAATGGATTGCCCAATCTAATCTCTTAAAACAATCAGCACTTCCCCTTCCCTGCATGTCTGTGCACACTGGGAAGGTAGTGGTTGATAAAAATGGACCAACAAAAGCAAAACAAGAGAGACCGAAAAAGCTGACAGAGAAAAAGGAATAATAAATAGTAATCAAGGCAAAATGTGTCAAATTAAGTCACATGTTAGCAGCTCCACCTTTAACAGAGAGTTTTTTTACAGCAACAGCTAGTAAGAAGCCCTCTCGGTTGCAGACGGTGGTTGTTGCTAGCACTAATGCCTCAGGGCCAAGAGAATGGAAACTACTGTCCTCATTATGGTAAAAAAACAGTGTATAAATAAAAACTGGTGGTTTGCACGAAGCTGCTGAAACTCACACGCAGAAACATCACCTGCAACTTTAATGTACCCAGCTGACTTATACAGTTCTCACTTTTTTCTAAATATTTCATAGTAATAGGAGAGCAATGAGAAAAAGGAGCGAGAAATGTGGTAATTCAACACGGTTAAAAGCAGCAGCTAAGGAATGTCTCAGATTAAACTCTTCTGGTATATGTCAGCTTCCCCTACAAATTAAGAAACTGATAGATGGTTTGCAAATAGGTGTGTACAAAACTTATTTTTCCTTTTTTGAAGGATCTTGACAGAACCCAGTAAACTTTGTTCTGGATAATCCGTTGCAAACCCCCCCCCCCAAAAAAAAAACCATGCATATTGAGTGTATAATCATGTGTCAAGTAAAGTTAATATGTTTGAAATATATATAACTTGCATATTTCTTTTCTTGCTTTATTTGGTGGTTGCTGTCACTTTCTATATTTTAGTAAACAACAGATAAGCAAACCTTCTCTTTTAGAAGCCAATGCAATTTACACATGGATGCACACACTGCA